AGTATACCCTTTTATTAAGTTAGATAGAGGTATAGTAATCTTAGAGTAGTACTTAATAAATCTCTAGTAAAAATTAGTAAAGCCTAGGAATTACTACACTTCGCGGATATTCTAAGGTTCTGGCCATTCCACTATGGTGGTGATATAGCTTAGTTCTATTTTAATACCTTCTGTACTAATGTTGAAACCTAAGAAGTTAATTTCCTTAGTATAGAATTTATATTTGCTGCGCTTAGCATAAAGTTTATATTTATAGAGTCTAGCCAGGACTTCCTGCACCTGTTAGATATGTTCTTCCTCAATATTAGAATATATAATAATATTATTAAGGTAAACCACACAGTAGGTGTCTAATAGATCACTTATAGCCTGGTTAATATATAATTAGAATATAGCTAGTGTGTTAGCCAGGCCAAATAGCATTACTATATATTTAAAATATCTATATCTTATACAGAACACCATTTTCCATTCATCACCTTTCTATATTCAGATTCAGTGGTAGGCATCTCAGAGATCTAGTTTTATATAGATCTTAGCTCTGGATAATCTGTCTATTAGCTTACTCATAAGTGGCAGTAGATAATGGTTTTTTACTATAATTTTATTTAGGCCTTGGTAATTAACACAAAGTTAAAGGCTACTATCCTTCTTAGGAGTGAATAATATTAGAGCACCTATAGAGCTCTTAGATAGTCTTATCCATCCCCTCTGCAGATACTCTTTAATATAATTCTAAAGAATAGAAAGTTCTTCCTGTAATAGTGGATACAGCAGCTTATAAGATGGCTAAGTTCCTTCTTTAAGGTCTATTATATGGTCATGCACAGTATTCTCTAGTAAGATGCTAGCTTATTCTTTGCTAAAGACATCTGCAAATTCTATATATTCTGGAGGTAGCACTAGGGTTACCTCAGAGCCATCTACCATAGCCTATAGCTTAATGGTTTTTTCTATCCCTGTAGGTATAGTAATTATGTAAAATAGCACTATATAGGCTTATAGTTCTTCTATAGCTACAGCAGTAGATATAAGCTTAATATTTAGCTTATTAGTTCTATTATAAAACTCCATACAGTAGTACCATGCAAGGTGTTTCTAATTAATGTCTGGATTAATAGCTTTTAGCTAGTCTATACCCAGAATAAGGTTATATTTAACCATATTCACTACTTCTATAGTTAGTTAGTAAATTTAGATAATTCCTGTAGAGTCAGTGATTTTAACTTCTAGATTTCTCTATCTATATAATATCACTTTATGACCATTAATAGCTTATACTAGCTATGGCAGATTTTCTGCATTAGGTAGGAATTCTTTTGCCTATTATTAATTAATAAATGTTTGCTCAGCTCTGTAGTTAATTAATATTTAGCATTAATAGCAGCTTCCTCTAATAAGAATATAGGTAAGATAGGCTAACACCCTACTACTATTAGAATCTTTTCTAATACCTAGTGCCACCACAGCACACAGCATAGGATAACTTAGTTTTTTAAGTACTCTGGAACCTATAGTTTAGTATAATATCTTAGTTAGTAGCTATTTTCTCTATATCTATAGTAATGCAGTCCAGGATGTTCTCTCTTTAGAGAGTAAGAGTATTTCTACTTCCTAGATTCAGATTAGTAGTTATTACTAGAATTTCTATTATTTCTAGGCCTGTAGTCCTTAGTGTAGCCTACCTGGTTATTATAAGGTCTAGAATTCTACTAGTTTTCCATTTTAATTAGTATTTTATTACATCTTTTCTATAGAGTATTTCATTGTGCTAGAATTCCATCTTTAATAATTACTAAGTAGGAAATATATACTTCTAATAGTTCTGGTAGATTAGCAAATCTAGCAGCTTTGCTTTAGATAATTAGTAAAATATAAGTATATAGGAAGTCTTTGCAGACATAGTTAGGTAGTGGTTTTACTAGTTAACTATAAATACTATTAATAAATATAGAGAATTCCTATATACTTTAGTTCTCTAGTTAAGCAGCAGAGAAATATTGAATAGCTGCTTCTTCATAGAGCCATTCTGGGGCGGAGACTAGGTATAGGTAGAAGTCTTAGAAATCTGACCATCTTAGTACTTCAGTAAGTTTAGCCTTATAAGTCTACTATTTATTATAATATATATCTATTAATTAGGCTGAGGCTGCATGAATGTGGTTTTCTTTATTCTTAAACTAATCTTAATATTCTTTAAAGTATGCTTCTAGATAGTTAAAGAAGGTAATATATTCCTGCATGGAATGTGTGGTAAACTATTTAATATTTATTAGCTTTTTTAGTCTTTCTAGCCCTGTAATCTTTACCTTAATTTCTATAATTAGTATTAGTATTAGTCTAGCATTCTCTACTTCCTGCCTGATAAGGTTATTAACCTCCTGGTATATTATAGGTACAGGTTCTTCATTAGTGGTTCCTTCTTGGGTTTCCTATAATTAGGCTTCTATCTCCTAGATGCGCCTCCTGATTTCTGCCTGCTTAAGTTTTTACCTAAGTTAGCATTCCCTTTCTAAGAGTTTATAGATTATTTCATTGTTATCATCAGGAATCATACTTATTAATTACTTATCTTTCCCCATGATTTAAAAGTTAAACTCTAAGGGTGTAGCTGATTGTTCCGCCCTTTCAGGGGTAGGTTAGTTATTTATACTCAGTAGGTGAACACTATCCTAACTATTATCTAGTTGATTAGTTATCAGTTCCATAAGGTTGGTTGATTCTTCCTGGATTAGGATTATTTAAGCTGCTCTTCCCACAGCTAGGGTTAATTCATTGTGCTGGGTCGGAGTTTTAGAGGAAGATCTGGTGCTGACTATCATCTTACAGTGTCCCAACAGGCTGATTAGATTTTAAAGAGTGATTAGAACTGTAAGGTCAGCTATTAAGGTCTAAGGTTAACTGGTAAGACCAGCGTGAAGGGAGTAAGATAACTGTATATTACCTGAGCAAGGAGAACTAATTGCTGAGTTGCAGAATAATCAGCAACTTATGGAGATATCTACAGTGGATCATGTGATCTAGTAATCTGCACTATCGGCGTTAGCTGCATACGGCGGCTTTATGGTCCGCCGTAGCCCTTAACAAGCAGACTGAGTCTAGAAGATGGTTAGCTAAAATATATTTAGGAAGGTTGCTCTGAAAAGTCTGCTTATATTTATATTTACCTAGTAATAACTTTTAGCCAGTTTAGGAAGCTTTCTGAGGAAGCAGTACACCCAGTCACATTCTAGTAATAGTAGACTAGAGCTATACTATAGTAAATTAAATAATCATGCTCCTATAACAGAAAAATCTTAAATATATCCAGTGATGGTAATATAAGATGTAGAAGAATTTAAGGGTATCCTTCTTCTTTATATACCTAGGGATCTTTTACTCTGCAGGGAATACTTAATTCAGAAACTCCTACTAATATTAATAGTAGAGCTATTAGGACTAAGGACAACTAACATACTTATTATATCTATTTATAGACATTGCTATTTAGACAGCGCTGTATAAATAAACTAAAGTATTAGTAAAGTTACTACCAGTACTTATCGTATAACTAAAGAAGCTTCTCTCATGAGGTCCTATACATCTAATTAAAGAAATTTATGTAGATTATTTAGTCCTCTAAGAGTAAATACTTTATATAGTCCTCTTTTAAATAGATATAAAATCTATTAGTAGTATATTAAGGATATATAATCCCTTCAGCAGTCTAAGAAAATATATATATACCTTTACTAGTATCTTTTAAAAACTGCAAGACCTTCTAATATCTTAGATTTAAAGTTCAGGGGTAGCCATCTAAGGCTACAGAAATACTCAAGCCTAGCTTAAGTTTCTTCACAGAGGATTAGGTTAGTCTAGTATTAATATTTATTAGGATCTACAGGAGGGAGAGGAGGCAGTGACATTAAGATAAACTAATCTAAATATAAGGGAAAGGTCCTCATATTCTAGATGTAATCACTTGAAAGCAACAAGGCGCCAAATTGATAAGTGTGCTAATGCTTGGCAACTAAGCGACCAGGTAATTCCATTCACTCCCTACATCACATCACCATCACGTCCAATAACTGCTCAATCTATGTACACACTTATCACGGCCAGCAACACGCCGTCCAACAGTAAACAGACCATCTCGGGGGATCAAGCACGCCAGTAAGCGGGTGATTGGACGGGATCCGTTCCATAAAGTCACCTTGACATTCAGGAAGCCTTCAGTGAGATAGGTTAGTTTACTCGCCTGATTGCATCAGAAAATCTTATTCTGAGCGGGAACTTACGCGTATGTCTTGCAAAGGAAAGAACTTCCGCCGTTGGACCCGGGGGCGAGGTTAATCTGCACGACTCTGAGACTCGTTAGCGAGGGCCCGGGATATATGAGGGTTCATAAGCAAGAGACATACCCGACGTCGAATGTCTTGCACACTCCATCTTCGACGGGAATTAGGATCCAGTCACCGCTGACTTCTTCTCGGACGTCCTGACCATTGTTTAAGCGAGGGGGTTATACAGCAGGGAAGGTTGGGACTTCAAACCATCTCGATGGCAGCAGCCTCAGAGAGCAGAAGCCCGAGAGTCGTTAGAAGGGCAGAGAGCTTCATGATGGTAAGATAGGAAAGTGGTGTTTCTAGGAATTTGGAAATTGGGAGGTAGCAGATTCAGCCCAGGAGCAGCGGCCCTATTTACACCCTCAGCTCACTGCCGACTTGCTTTTTTGCAGGTGGTGGCTGTGCTCAGCGCTTCAGGATTTGTTTCATTCGCTACGAACATGGGAGGACGCGGGGTAATAGGTTTCATTCCTCTGAAATGACCTAATACAACTCGTTTAAATCAGAAGACTTGCACTTTCGTTTCTCTTCCGTTCCTGATGGACGGCGACTCTTAGTCTTCTACCTTAATACAAGCACGAGGAAACAAGTCCTTGAGCTTGAGCAGGTGCCTCGCTCTCATCTGTTCTAGAAAAAAAACCCGCTTGGCTTATCAATTCGTGAGATTGTGATAAGATGTCAGCCTCCATGTTCTCAAAGAGCGATTCGGCCATGGTCGCCCTCTCCCCCTTGAACGTCTCCGAATTGCAGAAGGCAACGACGGCAATCCATGCAAGCCCTCCAAATTCCCCGCCTCCAGCAATATCGTTCGATAATTACAAGGCGAAGAGTGAGCTCAAAGATGGCGGCGCATCTAGAACTGAGCCGTCTATACTTCTCACTCCTCCCACAAGTCCACCCCGCAGCATTCCCGAGTTGACGAACGACGGCCAGCCAGCAGGAAACACGGCCAAACTTGACCCTGCTGCGTTAAAATCTCTGCTTAGTCTCGATAATGGACGATGTGGATGTCCCACAAAACAGAAGAAGCCTTGTAAGATGAAAATTGCGGAGGAGAAGAAGGCAAAGATCGACCACATGATCAAATCAATGGTCGCTCTCATTCCGCCATCTCCGGAGCTCGAAGGAGAGCTAGAAAATCTGGCTAAGCTCGTGCACTGTCGGTACCATGACCATGAAGAGTGCATAAAATGTCGTGCCGAGGAATGGATAGCCACCTTTCCTAACGGAGATCCCGACAGCAAGCCTTTTCTGTCTCTAGAGAGGCAAATTAGAAAAGCTCTAGACGGATTGTCTACCCAGTGCATAGGGAAAATAGAAGCGCAGGAGAATTGTTCCCGTGAAATCGGGGGACAGAAGGCGCAGAACTGTACTAGGACCATTAACGAGATTGTCTATTCAGTGACTTATCTAGGTGACGTCGATGATATTGAGTACCTCCTCAAAGTTTTCGAACATAATAGGCTTTGCGATCGCCATGATAGACAACCCCTCAAACATGTCGAATTGTGGAAATCGAGGGTCATGGAGATTCGCAGCATATATCAGGCCGAGTGTGCGAAGTTGGCTGAAGACACTACACCGTCAGCTTCTCAAAACCAGGTGGTCTTAACGGCGATGACTTCTCGTCTATCGCCTCTGAGACTGAATATAAGTCCGGCTGAATATTGGCCTGCGGCATATGATGTGAGTCCTTTCAGCATCATACAGAGGAGTGATAGACTCAAGGACTGCGAATCGTCATATGACAAGATTCAACGGCAAGCGAGGAGTCCCTTGGATGCGAAGTTAGGTGACTTGAAGGATGGATTTGTATACCTGTATGAGGTCGAAGGAAACAATGGATTCGTCAAAATCGGATATACCAGCCGTAGCACAGAGGTGCGTCATGAGGAGTGGGCATTTGCCTGCAATCGAGCTCCCAAATTACTCTATCCGGATTCGTCAAATCCCCGAAAAGTTCCCAATGCCCGCCGCGTCGAGGCTTTGTGTCACGCGGAGCTACATCATCGACGGCTCAGAATCTATTGCACCGGTTGCTTGAAGCAGCACATTGAATGGTTTGAAATTGCCCCTGTTGACGCCATCGCCGTTATCCAGAAATGGTCAAACTGGATGGCATCCAATCCATATCAAGAGAGAAACCTGAGAGGCGGGTCAAGATGGGCCCTGAAAGCTGAGGAGGTGAAAAGATTTGATGATATCAAAACATTTCTGAAAGATATATCGCCTCCAGTGCCGATACCTTAAAAACTGGGTTTGGAGGGAAGGGAGTATTCTACTTGCCCCAACACACTTCAGGAGCAAAGTCGAAATTGGAGTGTTTTGAAGTCTGCATTTTTAACGAGTAATGAAAATTATGTCGCACTCACATTCATGATTTAATTTGTATTACACAAATAGTATTCACCTCTGCAATTATAATACAAGATATCTGTAAATGTAAACACTAATTACAAATATTTATAGCAAACGCAAATATACTTATTATTTGTTTTGACCCATAGCAGGATCCAAGCTCACTCAGGATGGCAGGGAACAGCTCTGAATTAATCTATCAGACCACTCACACCCTAATAAAGTCTTGTTGACCTGGTGCGTGATTAAAGGTAAAGCAAATCTGGTGAACATAACTCTAGGGACCTTTCAGTCCATTCCAACACAGACTTGTAGGAGTTTCCGCTAAGGACAATTTCTCTGAGGGTATCTTGGCGATGTTCAACCATTAGAGAGGACTCAGGCAAAAGTTAGCAATTTTTAGAAGAGCCAAATATAAGTGATTTAAGCGCATATAGAAGTTCATCGGCGACTTCCAACTTGAGTACTCTTGATTATTCCAGTATATAAAACAAGCTGCCACCGTTCGACTATCGTAACCGGGTGGATCGTTGCAATTCTACTCTCTCCGGCGAAGTGATGCTTTTCGGTGTGGGCGAGCGAGGTCAGATTCCCCTGTGTTTGCCCGTTTATGCGCTGAAATGGAATATGAACTTCTGCAGAGACGACCTGAGAGCTTCGCTAGAGTCTCGATTTGTATCGAATGCTGGCAATGAGTTGGCGGCCAGTGGCGTTTGCGACCCAAAAGTTTCCCATGGGCCATGGTTCTATCAGGGCCACTTTGTGGGTCTTCCTGTCAGTGCGCACAATGAAGTTTGCTTAATAGCCAGTCTAGACTGAATATGGCAGGGAACCCCTGGTTTAGGTTCGGCATCTATCTGTGCCAGAAATAGAAGAAGCCCGGCGCAGCCAATGGAAGGGAGGATGATGGTCATCGACAGCTGGACTAGTGTTGCCTAATCCAAGTGGTGGACGTTGATGGACCGCTTCTGTTAATAGGTTTCTCACTACTGTTGGCCTCTTTAATGCTCTTGTAACTCTAGGTAGTCTCAAAGTTTGACTGCCTGACACTCGTAACTCGTTCACCATAATGATGCGATTTTTACGGAGTGGACTCTGCCTGTCTGGTATGTATCCACTGGTCACCGCTAATCCCTGGCGATCCTGAGCTTGTCTGGGCTTGGCTATCTGGCCGTCGGTTACTGATTCTTGGACCCTAAGTCTGTCTTTTCCAGCTCATTACTGTTACTCTAGCGGAAGCAAGTGCTGCTGTGAGCACATTTACTCTTCCCCTGGGAAGCAATTCAGAAAACTACACCTTTGCCCTCAATATCCCCGACAATTCCAGCGATGTCTACTTCCACCTGTCCGGGCCGACCTCGTATTCGTGGGTGGCCGTCGGGACTGGCCAGGAGATGAAGAACTCTTTGATGATCCTGTTGTATTCGGACGCCAGTGGAAAGAGTAAGCCTTCGAAAGTCGTTCCGAGCGACAATTCAGCAAGATTGAGCTAACAGCGACTGATTCCAGATGTCACTGTCAGTCCTCGCCTTTGTACAGGTGAAACAGAACCGGTGTATGCCTCCTCCCTCGCCGTCCAGCTTCTCCCCGGAACAGGAATCGCGAATGGCCTCATGACCGTCAATGGACGCTGCTCAAATTGCACAAAATGGAATACTGGGTCGTTAGATTTGCAATCTACATCGCAGCAGTGGATCTTCGCCTTGGGCCCTCACTCTGGCGCCAACGCAGTCCTTCGCAGTGACTCCAAGGCTGCCAACATCGAGCGACACTCGAAATATGGTATGTACTAATCTGTCAGCCTCCTTGTCTTAAGCAGTATAGGAGCTCATTTCCACTCTCCTAGGACGCTTCTCCATGGATATGACCCGCGCGACCGGCGGATCGGGCAGCTTGCCTGACTCGTACACCAGCTCGATAGGAGCCAGCCTGGTGGGAGGGGTGTCGAATGATAGCAACTGGCCTGCTGTGATTCACGCTGTGGCCTCTGTGGCGCTTTTATCTTATTGATGCCCACAGGTGTCGTCCTGCTGCGCGTGGTTCCAGGAAGTGTCCGCTGGCACTGGCTAAACCAGACCGTTGCCAGTGTCATCGCCATCATCGGTGTCCTGATTGGCTTCTGGCTGAGCACCATGTACACGAAATCGCAGTCATTCAACTCATCACACCAGATAATAGGGATTCTAGTCGCTATTGCCATGATCGCCCAGTGGGGTGTGGGTTTCTGGCACCACCGGCTGTATAAGCTCCGACAAGCCTCGACCAACTACGGTGTATTCCACCGGTATTTCGGGCACATCGTGGTGTTCTTTGCCATTGTCAATGGGGGTATTGGGCTTAAGTGGTCTTCTGCATCGACCGGTGCAATTACTGGATACGCCATCGCTGTAGTTATTGTTTGCATCCCACTTATCTGTGCGATCGCCTGGAAGAAATGGGCTGCTTATCGTGGCGGCAAAGGCTACATTCACCGGCCGGTGCGTATCGATGGGGCACAGGAGCGATCGGAATCAGATATTGGTCTCAATCAGTATCCTACTGCCCAATATCCTCCCAAGACATATATTTACGCGGGCCGGGATGGCTATTAATTGTATTTTAGCAAAGGATTGAGGTTAATGTACAGAATGATTATAACAATGCTTTTGATAAAACAGAATTGAAATAGGCAGTATCAACATCTAACCATGGATATTACTATGGTCGACGCCATACACAATGCCATAACTGGTCCCAGCAGCCAGTGCTCCAACAAAAAGCGTTTGAACGGCTCCATATAGCCCAGCTCGTTTAGTCTTGAGCATGACAAAGTTCTTGATATACCCAAACAGCAATAAAACGACAAAGGTAACGCCGATCGAAACGAACAAAGCATGTGTGACGTTGTTCATGACAAAGTAGGGGATCATGGGGAGGAGGCCGCCTAGAAACCGAAAGGATCAGAATGGGATACTCAAGACCAAGGTAGAGGGGGATGATCGCACCGATAAAGTAGGAAATACCCATGGTGGCGGCAGAGATCCAGGCCTGAGAGACATTTGGTTTCTCCAGCTTCAGCTCAAAGTCCATCATAAACTGACCCTTCGTAAGCAAGCATCGTGCATGTAGATGGAGGAGGCCATACCCTAATCCAGTTCTCCTGGTCCCGAGCCAGGCAGTCGACTACCATCTGGCAGGCCTCAGCGCTGATGCCGTAGCCAGAGAGTATCTCATGGATCTCTTCTCTCTCAGCCTCGGGTTTCGTGCACACTTCCTCCCTTTCCCGCTTCTCCTCGCTCTTGTAATGATCTCGATCGGTTACGGCGGCGAGATAGGCTCCCAGTCCCATGGAGATGGCACCACTGAACAGCTCCGCGAGGCCACCAACAATGACCAGCTTGGATGATCCCAGACTAGACAGACCGGCTGTCAGAGCAAAAGGGACCGTCAGACCATCTGCGAAACCGATGATCACATCTCGTACGAAGGCGCCAGCTTCGGAATGTTGCTCGGTAGCAGAGTGTATTTGATTCCGCCGCTCAACCGCAGGCTCGACAGGAACGGTGTTGGCAGACATGATGATAGAGCTGTAACTCTGTGAACGGCATTTGAATGCTCTCCATCTGGCTTCTACTCGTCCTTTTCTACTCCCAGGTGCCATATTACAGCTGTCTGCTACATGCCAGGGTATATACTTCGGTTGCGCTCTACTCCGCCAATCAGATCAACCCTATTTCCAAGCATCGAGTATTCACAGTTAACAGGCCAATCACATGGAACAATTTTCTAATTACACTTACGGGATTGCTTGCTGTCGAATAAAGCTATAATAAAGTTTAGGGAATCTGGATCTTTCACAGCTTGGTCGAGGCAGGGGGTTACAGGCACCTCTTCCGCTGCTCGACCAAGCTGGGCTATTGGACACAAAATCACGCAAATTTGTTTGCAAAAAAGACGTAGCCTCTTGCAGTATACTGTAAACAGACTAACATGAAGGATGATGCAAATGTTGGAGACGATCATGCAACGTCAGGCTGATACATCGACACGACAATGCTGCCCGGCTTTTGCTCAGGTTCACAAAGTGCTCGATCGCCCAACTGTTTATCCACTGAGTGACGATTGGACCATTACCTTCAGTCCCTGCTCAATCGCATTCTGAGACCTCCAAGCAGACCATGTATGGTCAAGCATGCCTACACATATTAGTCTTTTTTCAACGGAAAACGCATGCGGATCATTGCTTACCCCATGTCTCGTCCAAGTCTTGAGTGCCTTGCCGAATGTAATAGCTCCCTGCAACGACCCAAGTGATCCAACCGGCGTGCTGCTCGGGGATCCACGTCCTCAGACAGCTGGCATACACACCCTCCCAGGTGGTGCTGTCCTGTAGGAACCCAAACTCGGTCAGGACCACCGGCATGGAATTCACAATCGACGGGTCAGACGAATTGAGGGCGTTGAATCCGTCGTTCCAGAGCGCACTGGACAACGAGCTGCAGCTGGTAGCACCCGTTTGATAGTTGTGGATCTCCAGGACCAGCTTGTTCCTGAAGCTAAAGTCGGAGAGGCGGAACTTGACCCCGTTCCCGAGATCAGATGCAGTCGGGATAGGCGAGAGGGTGGTATCGTAGTTCAAACCAGACAGGAAGATCAACGCGTTCGGATTGGCCGCGTTGACCTTCTTCGCTGCCGTTGTCATCTGCGTGTACCACGTCCCCCAGTTGTAGGGGTACTGTGAGTTGGCTGTGGCGGGCTGGCGAAGCTCATTGCGCAGTCCGATGCTGACAAAGTTGGTCCATGATTTGGCCTTGCGGGTCAGTATCTTTTGGGTCTTGTTGTACTAGGTGACTTACATGAGAAACCATATACTCCAGTCCTCTTATCCACTTGGTAACGTTGAAATAGGTATCTCCAAACCAGGCGTTACCATCCGTGGTGGAACAACACCACATCGCCTTCGAGATGTGATTATCCAAATGTACATAGATTCCTTGTTTGTTGCACTCCGCGGCTACCATATCATATACTTGCAGACGAGTCGTCGACGACGTGATCTGTGGGTTCACCGTGCGAATCTGATTGAATACCTTGGTCCCGTTCGTTGATCCCAGAGCCTTGATCAGCGATTTCTGCACGGTGACGTCTCCGCCGTTGTCGAGGATATCATCCACCAACTCAATGGGGAAGGTCAAACGGATGACATTCATTCCCAGGCTCTTGAGCTTGGAGACTGTCGACGCGATGGAGGCGTACTGCATCCCTTCGGGAATCATGACTTCGGCCGCACCAGGCCAATTAGCCCCCGCGTAGGTGAAGTTTGCACCCTTAGAGTCATGAATCCATCGGCCTGAGACGGTGAAAGGAGCATTCAACGCCGAGCAGGCGAGGGATTGTAGCAGGACAAGAGAAGAGACAATGTTCAGCTTCATGATGAGATGCCGTTGCTCTCCCAACACACGGTTAAGGCCTAGAGACAAGATGTGTCCTACTTTTGCCCCTTTATACTCGTGTGAATCAGGTACTTGAGTATATCCTGCCATCTTCCCCGCACTCGGCATATAGCATGACGAACGGGGTCCACTTTCTGCAAGACTATGGGGAAGCGGGGAACCTAGTCTGTCCTCGACGCGGTTAATGGAACTATGAGCATGCTGATCTTCCATTTTTCCGGTCGAGTGGTCATGTATATCCTTCCGGCTCCCCCGGGGATACAGGGACAATATGGTATGCATGTGACGTTCTTCACAATTTGTGGCTTGCGTTTCAGGAGAATTGCCGTGGGGTAATCGCTCAGCTGCTCACTCTTTCTGCCCACTGATCTACACCACTAATACTTTCCCGTCAAAATCTACGGGTGTTGAACCAAAGTGCGGCACGAACCGAAGTAAACCGAAGTAAAGACCTCATTCTCTGCAAGGAGAGACAGCTCTAGCGGGGGGAGCTCTACCTTACGTAAATGGACCGTCGGTACATACTTCAACATTCTCTATTGATTGTAAGAAGGCTACAACAACACAGTGCGCTATCAACCGAAGAATCTATCCTTGTACTAAAGGAACTCAAACAAACCATCTAACACGTCTCGGCAAAAACAGGCTGCAGAGTAAAGCCAAACCTCCTTTCCTCACATTTAACCCGATACTTGTCCAGAGTACGAGGACCACAAGCTCCCGTCCCAACACCGCAGCTCTCCACATCCAACCTCAACCTGACCCGTTCCTCAGGAACAAGTTCAGGCGCATGCTTGGCTGCCTCGATAGCCTCGGCACTATACCGCGTAGCAAGCCACTGGAACAGCTCAGTCGGCTGCTTATCACTGTCTTCCTTGACGCGAGTCACTCGAAGACCCCATCCCCTGCTGTCGTGTACACGTAACCACCGGGTATCCATCCGGTTGCCCCCTTCCTGGGGTACCTCGTAAGTGGTATGCAGTTCGGCCGTCGTAGCATTGTAAATGCCCACCTTTTGCGCTCGCTTCTTGTCCACGTACGCTTCGCCAGGCCCCAGGCCGAACCACGATGTATTTTCCAGCTCGTCGGCGAGAAGTACATCCAGGCCGATCCGAGGCAGGTCCGCTGGGATTGGGCCGTGGGGCTTCAGGTGCACAATGACAGTTAGAGTACCATTGCCAGAGATGGTGTAACTGGTCGATGTGAAGAATCCCCATCCCAGTATTGGCGCGGAGATGTATGTCTCCGTGGCGACTTCTATGCTCGTGGGGGTATGTTGAACGACATGCATCTTGCGCAGCTGAGAGGTGAGAGTGTCGAGTCCAAACCGCCGCCATTCACCGAGATCATGGGGCATGTCGTTGTCGGTCGGTGGACGCCAGAATCCGGGAGAGATAGCACCGGGTGCTGAGGACTGGTCAAGGAGGGAGAGGCCGTCGGCTGTCCAGGCGTACAGACTGCCGGTTTCTCTTGAGAATTCCAGGGTGAACGTGGCGCCGGTGATCTTGTGTGTCGTCTTGGTGGATGAGAGCGTCAAAGGCTGAGCGGGTACAGGCAATGAGGGGCGTGAAGATGAGGACTTGAGGCACTGCTGGTACCAAGCGACTTCGTAGTTGCTGGCGGCCCATGGTGTCTCCGCTTTTTCTTGGAAGCTAATGGTGAGCCAGAGCTCCCCGAGAGTTGCTGTCGCAGGCGTAGATGGCAGCTTGATAGTCCCTTTCTGGCCGGCGGGAATAGACGGAAGTTCTATATTGCCTGTGGAAATAATGCGCCCGCTACCATGAGTCAGTACCACGTTTGGGGATGGATAGAGAGAGACATACCTATCTCCCAAGAGCTCAATCTTGTAGACGGCCTGGAGGCCTTCCAATCCAACAAAATTGTAGTCATTCGCTACGACCAGATCCCCGTCCTCACCAGGCGATACACGAACCGGCGCATAGGCCTTCTTCATTTCAGTAATACCAGGCGTGGGGGTGTGGTCGCTGAACAGCAGCCCATCCAGCACGAAGTTGCCATCGTGGGGCGTATCGCCAAAGTCACCACCATAGCCATACCATCCCTTTTCCTCATCCCAGAGTCCATGGTTTGCCCATTCCCAGATCCATCCTCCTTGCAGGCGCCGGTGGGTCCGGAACGCTTCCATATACTCTTCCAAGCCACCCGGTGCGTTCCCCATCGCATGGGCATACTCACAAAGCACAATTGGCTTTTCAAACTTGTCTCCCTCTGCAGTAGCAAGACCTACAAGTCGGTCGACCGATGGATACATGTACGAGTACATGTCAACCGTCTTGGCCTCCATGTCTCCCTCATAGTGCACGGGACGACTGGGGTCAACCTGCTTGACATAGTCGTACATGGCTTGGTGGTTCGAGCCGTAAAATGCCTCATTGCCGAGCGACCAGATAATAACACAGGAGTGATTCTTATCGCGCTGCACCATTTGCACCATTCGGTCTACATATGCATCTTTCCACTCGGGATTGTTGGTGGTGAACTGCGCCGCCTGGTCAAATGTGAGCTTCTTTCGCTCCTCGTAGTCCATTGACTCGGGGATATCCAGAGGACGAGCGACGGCATCGTAGAAGCCGTGACATTCCAAATCTGCCTCGTCCATCACCCATAGGCCTAGCTCGTCGCAGAGTTCGTATAGGCGGGGATGGGACGGGTAGTGTGAGCAACGGAGAGCGTTGACGTTATGCCGCTTCATGATCAAGAGGTCCTCGCGCAGAAACGATAGAGGCACTGCTCGGCCGAAGCGTGGATGATGGTCATGCCGGTTGACGCCGCGGAACATCACTGGCACGCCGTTCACGGTGATGTTGCCATTCTTGATCTCAACCTGGCGGAACCCGACACGGTGGTTGATTGTCTGCACGGGTCCCTTGACACCCTCTGGGTCGAGAGCGATGCACAGATCGTAAAGATTTGGTGTCTCGGCTGTCCATTTCCTCGGGTTGGAGACGGAAAGCTCAGCCTCGAGTTTGTCCTGCTTTGCCTGAAGAGAATACTTCTCCGACTGCAACGTACTGCCCGTGGAAGGATCGCTCAAAGTCACTTGCACTACGGCCGCCGTTGCCAGAGCTAGATCCAAAGACAAGCGCAACGTCGCGTCAACGTAATCCTTGTCCAGTTCGGTGCGCACGAAGAAATCTTCAATGCGGGCCTGGCCAGGGAATGCGAGCAGTGTCACATCGCGAAAGATGCCCGACAACCACCATTGGTCTTGGTCCTCAATGTAGGAGCCATCAGACCACTGATAGACTCTGACAAACAGTTCATTGGTGCCGTCGCGGTCGACAACTTGCGACACATCGAATTCAGCCGGGTTGCGGCTCCCTTGAGCGTACCCAATCGGGACACCATTCACCCAAACATGGTACGCGCTGTCAACGCCGTCAAACCTCAGCCGCAATTGGGATGAAGCATCCCACTCGGCAGGCACGTGAAAGGTCCGACGATATGTGCCCGTAGGATTCTCCGTCGGCACAAATGGTGGACAGACGGGGAAAGGGTAAATCACGTTGGTGTAGTGTGGACGGCCATAACCTTGCAATTGCCAATGACCAGGGACGGTGATGGGAGCCCATGATGGCTCCGAGGCTGCGCCGTCAGAGCTGGATTGGTTTAAATCCCGGCGGGGTTCGGACGTGGCGTTCTTGGTGCCCTTCGACCATGATGGCTCGGGGGCGCTCACGGGAGAGGCTGCATAGTTAAAGTCCCAGCGACCATTGAGCGAGATAGACGTCTGGGGAAGGAAATATGCTCTTGGTTTAAGTCGATTGCGCTGGAAAATGTGCTGGTTTTCGTAGTCTGGGACAGCGGAGAGTGTCATGATGACGGACAGGGAAACCGAGTACAGAGTGTGATGGTGGAAAATAGAATTTGCTCAATCGGGTCTAAATAAAGCCACAGAACAGGATCTAAAAGAAGAAAAAATGAATTGCTTGAACGAAAACAAGAAGTAGGCCATCTCCCCCTCCTAAATAGGCGGATTCGTGGAATAACAGGTGGACATGAAGAAAAGCCATGCTCGAGGGCATTCACCAGCATCCAGAACGCAATGAATGCCCCTCTTCGGTCCACGTTCCGACCATGATTGATCCATATTTCTGGTGCAGCCATATGTTTCGCTGCCAGGGAGCGGGGAAATCCAGGCCGTCGTTTCGACGGTTGGTGGTTCCTCTGCTTGGCGCACTCCGCCGGGGATGTCGGACGGAAGAATGAGAAATCTCCACATTCATGGGTCAGGGGGACGGTTAACCTTAAGAGTCCAATTCAAAGTGCGAATTGCAATAAAATCAAACATTTTGCTAAGTCCTTCCGATTGCCCCAGTAGACTACCAGCAACAGTCCCCACTGACTCCGGAGTATATATCCAAGCGAAGCCATCGCATGATTCGTACGGGGATATCGGAACCGAGGAACCACAAATGATCGTCTCGAAAAAAACTGCGCGAGTCTAGGCGGTCCATTTTCCCCGTATTTCCCCAGATTTCCCTCTTGGTCATGAGCCGATGCACCTCCGTCCAGGATATAACCACTCTGGTCGCTGCACCAGATGCCTTGATATTCGCTTAACAGCGAGGCTCATGTTCCTTCCTCACTGTCTTTGAAATCAATTGTCCCTCAAGGTGCCTTCTCTCAATATGGCAGCCGACGAAAAGACCGACTCTCAGTTCCATGAGACAGTCCACACACGCGATGGAGACGTGGGCGATGCCATCGAACTGGCCCAGCAAGCCGCTTCGGCCAAGTACAGCCCATGGACTCCCAATATGTTCCGGCTGTATGGCTGTTTGACAATCGCATATCTCTGTGGTTGTCTGAATGGCTACGATGGATCGCTCATGGGCAGTTTGAACGCGATGCAGAGCTATCTGGACTACTTTCATATGTAAGCTCGACCGTGCAAGCGAAAGGCGAAACAAAGGACCGAGCTGACGTCTCCAGGAAATCCGCCGGTTCGAGTACAG